AAGGGGACGTGTGTGCGTGTGGAGTGTCTGTGAGCGTGGTGTGTGGAGCTGGTTGTGACTTCTCTGCTACTCGGGGTCTGTGCTTTTCTCTAAACTTCCCTGCAAGGGCACCTGGATGGGAGATGAGCAGAATGTTTGTGAGATTAGAGTTTTGTGAAACGGCATTGTGTCGTGCTCTGATGGGTCCTCCTGGGTCTCGAGCAGGGCCAGCAGGAGTGGGCTCGCCCACCTGTCATGGCCCTCGGGAGCCAAGGGCTTCCAAGCCGGGCAGGACGGAGGCGGGCCTGTTCTGCACCTTGACCCTACTGTGCCCGGCCCAGGCACCCAGGCTGATGTGTCCCATCTGCTTCCAGGGTCTCTGGAGGGCAGAGGTGCCAGTGCCCCTTCTCGGAGCACAGCCAGGAGCAGCCTGCTGGACAGGGCAGAGCCAGGCTTCCTGACAGACCCCGAGCCTGGCTCCCAGGAGCTCCCGGACGGCCCCCTGGAGCCATGGGGCTCGGATGTGGGCTGCCCCAGCCTGGCCCTGCGGGAGGAGGTGGACAGTATCTTCCCCGATTTCTTCCCCTGCTAGGCAGCAGGGAGAGCCCGTGTCTCACGTGTCTGTGTGGGGTGCTGGGAGGCTTCTTTTGGGTTTGGGCGGCCCCTGTGCTCTGCTGTGGCGAGGCTGGGGGGCCGCAGCGGGTGGAGGCCGAGGATTAAAGGCAGGGCGGCGCTCCTGCAGAAAGCGGGACTTCCGGAGCGTCTGTAATCAGCGCCATTCACTGGGCAGATGGCACCGCTTCCTCTCAGAGCGCGGGCACCTGCCTGGGGTTTTGTTTCTGCGACGTTCTTGGCCTTGCGGACTCCCTAAATAGCCCTGCAGCCTGGGGCGGGCTCCGGGGGCTGAGAGTTCTGTGTTCCCAGCCTGCTCCCCGGAGAAGCAGGCGTCGGACCCCACCTCTCACGCCTCTCACCCCTCACCACCTCTCACAAGGCTGGTCTGGGCTGTGCGGCTCTCACGGCCCAGGGGTCTGTCGGGGGAGGCCATGGTGCTGTCCGCCGCAGCCAGGGCCCCGAGGGAAGGCTGGCCTCCGCTTTCGAGATGGGGACCTCTGCACTCCCCTCTCAGGGGCCGTGGGGGGGCCTGGGGCAGAGGCCACTTGGTGTCAGCATCTGGACCCTTCTCCTGGCAGGCACAGCTCCAGTCCCAGCTGCTGCTGACCGCTGGGATCTGGGGAAGGCCTGGGTTACCGGGAGGGGCATCCCAAGCCCCCATGGTCGAGTGCGGCTGACCCTGCCCTGCATCTCACCACTTGGCAGCCACAGCAAAGGCGGGTGTCCGTCTGTGCCCCCGGCTGGCCGGGGCCTCACTATGCTTCTGCTCATCCCCTTCTGGAGACGCTGGGCTCCAGACACCCCTGTGACCCTCCAGGCCAGCAAGTGCTCCAGGAGCCAGGGGGTTTTTTCTCCCCAGCAGAGTAGGTTCTCCTGACTGTGAGTCCTGAGCCCCCTGCCCAGGTTGCCTCCCCGCACTTACATGCATTTCCATCTCCGCAGCCGGAAAGGTCCATTCATTCTGTGAGGCACTGCAAACGGGTGAGGAGCAGCTGGTGTGGGGTCGAAGCGCTGGCAGCGTGAGCCCTCGGTGGGGCTGGAGGGGAGCCAGGCAGCGGCTGCGGGGAGGGAACCTGGGGGAGGCCAGGTGCCCACGGGGGCGGCTATCGCCCCTAGACCCCAGTGCTCAGGACGTCTGTGCTGCTCGTGTGCATGCGTTTATGGGCATTGATGCTGGTGTGCACACACGCGATTGTGTGTGGTTCTCGAGTGTAGGCCTGTGCCTCCCCTTGGCAGGGTGGGACGCTGCAGGGGCCCTGTGGTCAGCCCAGCACCCTGAACCCCGCTGTGGGTGACCCTGCTGTGTGGCTGCTGTGTCAGGGCCGAGGCAAGCGCCTGGGTCCTGCCCCTGTGAGTTTCTGGCTCCCTGAGCCCAGAGGGGGACCTGGGGTGGAATCGCTGAGCCCCACTTGGGAGCAGGTCTGTCTCTGCTGGGGTTCGCTGCAGGGCTCCATGGAAACCGCAGCTGCCTCTGGTCAAGCTGACCTAGAACAGTCTGGCTCTGAGCCCCCGGCTGGCCACTTGTGCTCCCCACCCCCACACTGACCTCAGGTCAGCACCCAGGGAAGGAGATCAGGAGCCCCAGCCGAGGCCCTGGAGAACAGAGATGAGACCCTGCCCAGCCCCAGGCTGTGGGGGATGAGGCCCTGTTTCAGGCGGCAGGCCTGCCTCATCTTGAGCCCCCGGAGGGGGCACTTGGAGGCCTGGTGTGGGCTTGGGGGTAAGAGCAGTGGGCGACCAACAATGTCTGCTCCTCCCGCCTCCCCCAGTGGGAGAAGGGTGCCCTGGAACCAGCATTCACCCCTGCCGGGGCCACGTGATCCCACGGCCCCTGCTCCACAGGCCGTAGGAGTGTGGGCACAGAGCCCCATCCCCGAGCTGGCTGGGGCCTGGCCTCCCTCCTGCGGACGGTGACATGCAGGGGAGGGGCAGGCAGGGCTCAATGGCAGAGCCCCCAGGTGAGCGGGAGGGGAGAGGGGCTGCCGCTGGGCCTGCTGGGGGCTTGGTTGGAGCTGGAAGGAGCTGCAGGGCCCAGGGGACAGCCTGCTTCTCATCCATCGTCCTGCTCTCCAGCCCTTTGTGACCCGAATTCAGCTCTCAGCAGTGGCACACTCCTACCTGCGTGTGCTCGAGGGTGGGTTTGGAAAGCCGTTGGCTGGTGACTTCGGGCTTGCTCTGGGGATTTGGGGCTGGCTGGGGGGCTTCAGCACAACTTCCCCCCCAGCTCTCAAGGTGACCAGCTTTCCTCCCCACTGCCCCCACCACGAGGTTTGCCTGGAAGTAGGACACACAGAAGGGACACGGCCCCGCAGGACCCCGGACACCCTCAAGCCACACCCTCAGCCCACACTCCCCTTGGTTTGGGACATCTTGGAGGGGCTGTGCCCACGGCTTGGTGACAGCCGGCCATTGGGCTGAGTGCTGACCACTCACCACCCTCAGTCCGCCCCTCCCCCTGCCCACTTTCCTCTCCGTCCCCCTCCCTTTCCCCACTGCTCCTCTTGCTCCATGGGCCTCGCGGCCAGTGTGGTCACCATGCACTGGGGTCTGGGGCGGGGTGTTCAGTTCTGCTCAGTGACCTCGTCTAGTCCCCTGGCCACATGGGTCCTGCTGGAGGACTGGGTGCTCCACTGCTGGGGAGGAGGTGACGTCCCGGGGCCCCTCCTTTCCCCCCAGGCTCTGATCTTCTCTTGGCAGGACAGGCATGTCCTCCATCTCCCATCCCAGGTGACCAATGAGTGAGCGAGAGGAAATCCTCCGGGGACCCTCGCTTGACTGGCCAGGACTCACTGTCCCCCCCCCCCCCACTCCCCCATACAGACCTAAGGGAGCCAGAAACCTGCTCGGCACAGCTCCAGTCCCGCCCTTGTTCGCTGGCGGTCAGGACACTTCGTCATCCCCCAGTGGGCCCTGCTGTCCCCCAGCCCATCACCTGAGCATGATGGGGTGCTCATGGCTGAAAGGGGGCCTCCAGGTCTGCTCACAGCCAGGTCCCATGCCCTTTGCTCAGAGGATGTCAGACTGGTCCCTCCACCCTTCTTGCTCCCCTCCCTGTGTGCTGGCAGGGCATTCGAGTTGTGGGGGCAAGATGGGCTGGGCCTGTCCTGGAGAGTAGCAGGCGGTGGGGCTGGGGGCTCCGGGGTGAGTGCAGCTTGGCTGGCATGAGGAGGAGTGAGGAGACAGGTGCCCCCAGACCGTGACCCAGACAGGCGTCATAGGATGGGCCAGGGGTCAGCGCTACCCCAGGATGAGCATTGGTGAGAGAAGAGATGCAGAGGTGGGATGCGGGAACAGCCGGGCGTCTGGGGAGCCAAGGAGAAGGAACTCGTTGCCCCTGGACGGGGGGAAGCAGGAGAGGATGGAGTTGTTGACCTGCTGGGGACCCGAGGCCTGGGGCCACTGAGGCGGGCAGCCACCGCACGGCTGGGGCTGAGGAGGTGGCTCCGCTGTTGGGTCTTGCTGGAAGAGATGAGCTGGAAAGGCCCTTGATGGGTGCAGGTGGGGGCGTGGGCTTCTGATGGAGGAGGCTGGGGTGGGGAGCGCAGAGGAGGCCGGGCAGGGAGGACCCCTGGGTGCTGGGGGTGGCCTGGGGGTGGGTCCCGGGGGCTGGGAGCCTCATCCCAACTACGGGGGTGGGAGGTCCCCTCTTCTGACTGCCACACAGACAGCTCCCCTTCATGCAAGGCTGACGCAGGCCTTGGTGCTGGACGGTATGGCCTGCCCTGAGAGACTCCCTCGAGGGACTCTTGGCCGCTGGCAGGAGCCCCCTGGTCTCGGCCGGGGGGTGGGCTTGATGGATGGCTCAGGGGTGGTGGCCCTGGGGGAGGACAGGCCTGTCCGCTATGGGGCAGGGAGTCTGCGTGCAGCTGGGCGCCAGTGGAGGGGAGCCTGGGGGCCTTAGGTGTGCATCAGAGGGGGCGGCGGGCATGCACCTGCCAGGCCTGCACAACTCAGGGAGGAGGAAGATGCAGCGGGCAGCATCTCCTGCTGCCTGCCCAGTGGCTGTCCCTGCCCCCAGGGTGTCCACCACCATCGTTTAGCAGACATACACATGTGTGGCCAGAAGGGGCTCCTACGCCGGGACCAACCTGGATTGGCGCTGCTTGCTGGCTCTGCCCCCGCGAGACTTACTTCTGTCCCTGCCAGTCCAGGGAAGCCCCAGGACTGAGGGGACCAGGTTGCCCTGGGGTCTGGCCTCGCTGACTTCCTGTGTTGTGTGCGGTTGTCCCTTCTGAACGGCACCCTGGGAACCCCTAGCAGCTTCCCCCCACCGTGTGGACGTGACCCTGTGGTGAACTTGGCTCACCAGGAGGGGAGGGTTCCTATCTCTGACCCCTGCGGCCCTGGCCCCGTGTGGTCACCAGTCAGAGCCCCCCCCACAGAGCACACTCGGTCTCGGAGCGGCAATCTTTTATTGGACACCCAGGAAAGGTCTCCAGGAACGGGGAGCTTCCTGGGGGGATGGGAACAGTTGAAGGGCTCCTTGGGTCAACTGTGAACTTTTGGTCCTTCGAGGGGGCAGTTCCTGTGAGTGAGAGGCGGCAGGGTGGGTTCAGGGGTGGGGACGGGTGGGGCGGATCCCGCACTGCCCTGGGCTCTGCCCCCGGGTCGGGGGCTGGGGAGGTCTGTCTGTGAGCAGGACCTCATCCCTGGTCCGCTCAGCCATTTCCCTCCTCCTCCAGACTGGCCCTGAGCCTCTCGGCAGGCCCCCCAGTGCCCCAGGCTGGCCCTGCCCCCGTCAGCGTTTGGGGGGCCCTGTGGGCATCTCCACCTTGGTCCTGCCCAGCAGAACCAGCAGCTTGAGTCCACGCCGTCAGCCCCCAGCTGCACCCCACGGCTGGCGTAGCCAGGGCTCAGTGTGTGTGCAGCGGCACTTGCCCCTCATCGCCCCGGCCTCGGGGGGTCCCTGTGCCACAGCCCCTGCAGGGTCAGAGGTCACTCACCTGGGCCCAGCGGCCTGCCTACTGTCGGGCACGCAGGCAGTGGTCTGTGAAGAGGAGTGCGGGTTGCTGAGCGGGGGTCTGAGCCGTGCCCTTCCAGCCTCCGGGTCTGGGGTGGGGGCGGGCACTTACCCGTTCGGGTCAGGTTGATGATGTTGGCCGGGCTAATCCCGTGGCTTTTGCAGTAATTCCTAAATGTCTGCATGATGTCACAGCTCGCGGTAGGGGTCCAGCCTGCAGACACAGCAATAGGGGCTGTCCCTCTGGCAGGTCATTTGGGACAATGGGCAGTGGGGTTCTGCGAGCTTGAGACGACCCTGGATTTTCAGGGTGCAGGCAGGGTTGTGGGGACGAGCTGCTGTGACCAGAGTGGGAGGGGTGTGCCCAGAGGGCCCCATGCCAGGCCAGAGAGGAGGCAGGGGGCCCCACAGAGTGACACCCGGCCCTTGGGTGGGGTCCGGCCTATCCTCGGAGCCCCGGTCCTTGCTGTTCCTGCCAGTGATGCCTTTGTTTACTGCACGTCAGGATAAGGGGCCGGTGTCTGGTGCTTGGCTTGTTTCAAGGCCAGCAGAGCGACCCAGACGTGTTTGGGAAGTACCGTGGGGACACAGGTGAAAGTTCGCTGCCCCCTGCGCTGCGGCCCCAGCCCCAAGAACCCAGCACCCGCAAAGCAGAAGCAAGCAGCAGGAGGGGGCGGTGGTGCCTGCCTGCCTGGCTGGTGAGCCGCTCCTCGCCCTCCCCAAACGTCGCCCTGCTCCGGGGCCGGCAGTCCGCCCCCCCCACCCACCCCCACCACACGCTGAATGCTGAGCTGGAATTCCCGGCCTGGGTGTGGCCAGTTTCTCCTGGATATTTGGACCTCACCCCACTGGCCCTGTAGGTCTGGGGGCCCAGCATGGGGCCACGCACTGAATCAGATCGTCTTCATGCTCCCTGCGTGGCTGGATTGGGTCCCCCTGAAAGGTGTGGGCAAGTCCTGGTCCCCAGAACTTGGGAATGGGACCTGCTTTGGAAGCAGGATCTTTGCAGGTGTGGTAAGGGTCTTAGGACGAGGTGATGCTGGGTTCGGGATGGGCTGGAAAACCAGTGACAGGTGTTCTTTTATGGGAAAGGGAAGGGAGGCTTGAGAACAGAGGAGAAGCCCCGTGGGGACGGGGGCAGAGCTCAGGGACGCCGGGGTCCCCAGGAGCTGGAAGGGGCAGCAGGTGGAGGGGGCCGAGCCCCTGCCAACGACTCTGCTGCTGACCCTTGCCCACCTCTGGAGACTGGCCAGTGGAGCCCAAACAACAGCCCTTAACTCTGGGCCCGAGTGAGGTCGCCGGCCTGTTCCTAAATACGGACATTTCCCCAGCCGCCGTGTCTGGACGCAGCCACGTCATGCCCAGGATGCCGTGGTCCCTGAGGACAGCAGTGAGGTGTCACAGCTAACACACAGACCCCCGTCTCTTACCTGCTTTTCTTGTTTGTGGGTCTCCGTGGCCCTGTTGGCCTCAGGGAAGCAGATGCTTCTACAGCCTGGGGGCCGGCTGGCCAGGAAGACCACCGGGGCCCCGCTCAGGTGGGAGGCGGCGCAGCATGGGTTTTCTCCAGACTTTACTGTCTGTGATGCTAAAGGAGGCTTATCTGAGCTGCTGGCCTGTTAGGTCCCCCTGTTGGCCTAGCACCTTACTACGTTCCTATCCCCCCCCCCCGCCCGTGGCCCTGTGGCTGCCGGGCTCCCCGCTGTGTCCTGTTGGCTGGGGGAGGAAGGCACTTACTGAGGAGGTTCACCACCACCGTCTCCTTTCTGTGCCAGTGGTTGTGGATGCAGAAGATGAGGAAGTGAGAGGGGTCCACCTCCTCTAGGAAGATCATGTTGTGGCCAGCATCTGCGAATCTGGGGCCCGGGGTGGGAGGCAGGTGGTGCAGGCTTCCCCATGGGGCCAGAACTGGGCCCTGGGAGCCCTCCTGTCCCTCCACGGCCTTAGACAACTTGGTGCTCATGAGCAGTCGGGCCCCAGGAAGGGGCAGGACCGGGTGTGGGTGGCGTCCCAGCAGGTGAGCTCCTGGTCACACACCGCTGGGACTCCCAGGGACTCCCCGCTCACAGGCTGGATGACGCTGACCCTTTATACTTACATTTCAGTGTGTACTGAAATTTCTTTTTTGTTTTATTTGCTATCATTATAATCGGGACACACATGCCCTGTATCCTGGGAGAGGATGATAAGATTCCTTGGGACTCTGCGTCCAGAAGAAGTGCCCACGGAGCTGGGTGGGGCTTGGTCACACCAGACGTTGGACATGTGTGTCCCATCCCAGGGCAGCGAGCCCCAGCCCTGTGTCACCATGTCCCCCGCGCTCTCCAGTGTCTGGGACATGGCCGTGGGGCCGACCGGGGATGGGGCACGGGGCTCCCCTAGACCTTGGCCCTGTCTGGCACCCTCTTCCCAGACTTACCTCCTGTAGAGATGGAACTCTATGGTCTTGAGGGTTACGTGGGTTTTGCGGATGAAGAACATCATGTGTGAGTCCTTCCACAGGAGTTTTGGTTCGTCAGAAGCCTGGGCTATTGAGAACCAGTCGCCGTTGACCTGCCGAGCAGAGGTGGGCGTGCTGGTGTGGAGGGAGCAGCTGGGGCTGGTGGGTGCCGGGCCTGTCCCCCACCTGCTGCCCCCAGCCACCACCTTCTCCCGCTCCGACGCCCGCAGCGGCTACCATATTCTCATCGATGTTGGGGTCCTGGGGGCCCGTGTGCAGGACGTGGGGGCCCCCGAGCAGAGCTAGCACCAGCCCCAGCCACGGGGTGTTCATGGTGCCGCAGGAGTGGCCGAGGGGTGACTGGTGGCACCTGGGCGTCCAGAGCCTGCGGCACTGGCCCTTTTGTGCGCTGCAGGAAAGGGCTTCTGCCACGTGGCCGGCTGTCACGGGTTCCCTCCTGCCCACAATGACCCTCTGTTGACACTACCTCCAACAATGGCCACTTGGCCGTTTGTCCACAAAGCCCCTGCCCAACCCGTGCTGACTGTCACGCGGTTTCCCAGAACCACAGCCGTGTGCCTGGCTGCTTCCAGGATCCGCGAGTCCCCGCTGGGCGCCGACCTCCGATCATCGAGTCATGGAGCTCCGGACGCGGCTGCCCTGGGCGGCTGTGACGTCTCCTCGTGACAGCCCCCCGAACGGCTGAGTGCTGGGTTGTGGTGTCCAGGGCCTTGGCAGGGGATCCGAGGAGGCTGGAGCGTGCATGTCCCATGCTGCCGCACTGGGGCTCTGGGGGCCGTGGCTGCTCTGGGAAATGCCTCGCTGCTCGGCGCCTCTCCTGGAACCACCCATCTGGGCAGAGCAAGGCGAGGCCTGGGGCCAAGGAGAATGGGAACGGGCCGCGGGCAGCGGGCTGAGTGGGGTTGTAGCCCGTCTCCACTCTGGCCTGTTTCCAGAGCCTCCCTGCTGTAGGGTGACCTGAGCTGGGCCAAATTCGTCTGCTCAGAGACCCCCCAGAGCCCACGGGAACAGAGCGGGCCAGTGCAAGCGCAGGTTACCGTGTCCCCCACGGGCTGGGGGGCCTCAGGTCCTGAGCCCCAGCGTCCTCATTGTCGACGTGGCAGTGATGACTACCCACCCGCCCACTTCTTGGCTGCAGGGCTCCTTGGAGGTGTTCACGGGGAGGTCTCCCCCGCCCCACCTCTGCCAGGTGCCTGCACCCCCACCAAGGCCGGTCACTGTGCTGCGTCCCCATGCTCACCCCTGCCCCCTGTGGTCTGTGCTCAAGACAGTGGTGCCACGTGGATATCAGAACCGGGCAAGGACTGTCACGAGGAAGGAAACCTTACAAGTCAGACTCAAGACATAAGATAAACCCAGCAATATGTGGAAAGGGTGATGTATTAAGGCCTTGTAGGGTTTGATCCAGAAATTCAAGGTTGGTTATTGAGAATCAGCGTATTTCACATGCAGAGTGGTGGGAAAGATCGTATGAGCACCACGTTAGCAGCAGGAAGGGATCTGATGAGACTCAGCAATATTTGCGATAAAAACTCATACTGCTGTCGACACAGAAAGGAACTGATCTGTTTGAAGGGGGGTTGCCAGATTCCCCCAACAGTCCTGCCTGAGCGTGAAGCGTGGAAAACTTCCCTGGTGGGACCGTGGACGTTGTCACCACTGTGTTGGACACGGCACTGGCCCTTCCCGTAAAGGGACGGAAGGGAATACGGGGGAGAGGTTGACGAGGAATGTTACTGAGGTCATGCGCAGATCACCTGCGGTTAAGTTCGTCATGTTGGAGGGTTCAGGAAGGCGAGTGGCCCCAGGATCTGTACACAAAAGGCACCGTTTCTGAGTGTGAGCAATCATAATTAGGATAGGAACTTGAAGAGGCTTTATTTGCAATTCAGAAAAAAAATCAAGTAACCAGAAATAAATCCAACAAAAAAATTGTGCAGACCTTCTGCCCAGAAAACTATCAGCTAGTACGAAGATATTTGGATGAACTGAATAAATCACATACCGTGTAAACGGGTTAGAAGTCTCAGTACTGCAATGTCCACTCTCTCCCTGGGATCCACAGGATCCTAGTCAGAATCCCAACGGGATGCGTGGCGTGTGGTCCCCACGTGCCAAGACGCTCCCACCGTTCAGTTTGGTGGAAGTCGCTCCAGCAGACTTGGGTTCTTACTGCAGAGTTTTAGTGATGAAGTCTCTGTGGTATCGGTGCAAAGCTGCGGAAGAAAACACACACACCCTCCCACGAGGGGGCCCCGCAGAGAAACAGGGTAAAAGCGTTCTTAGGACTGGAAGCTGGATGCCCTTCAGGACGAAAATGAGCGTGGGCCTGCATTATACCCGCACAAAAATAAATCCCGGCAGGGCGCTGAGTGGTGTCCCGCCCCAGAGCTGGGTGGAAAGTTCTGTCCCCGGGACCTCAGAATGTGACCTTCTTTGAGATTGGGTCTTTGCGGGGTGGCCAACCCAGTGTGACTGATGTCTTTATAAGGAGGGGAGGTTTGGACACAGACGCTTGGAAGACGGCGTGAGGACCACCACGGGACAGAAGACAAAGCAGAGGTTGCAGGCTGCGGCCACAAGCCAGGGTGTGCCGGCAGCCCCAGAGCTGGAAGGGGCCGGAAGGTCCAGTCTCCCCCTGGAGCCTCCAGAGGGGGTGCGGCCCTGTGACCGCGGATGGGGGCCTTCGGGCCTCAGAATGCGGAGAGCACAGCTCTTGGCTGGCTCCGCCCCATCTGTGATCCTTTATTATAGCAGCTGCAGGGCACCCATACGGCAGGATGGGGGGCAAGTCCCGGCAGGAACAGGTGGCCCGCCCAGAGGGGGATCTGCAGAGCTCAGGGAAGGGACTGGGGCTAAGGTGTGGGAGGTGGGGGAGGGGTCAGCCAGGGGAGGGCTGAGCGGGAAGCAGCTGTGGGGCCTGCTGTGGGGCTGGCCGCAGGCAGGGCCTTGGGGAGGGACGCAGCAGGGGCTGCTGCAAATGCCCCAGACTCTGGCTCCCGTCTCCTGCGGGGCCTCCCTTCTGTGGATCCTGCAGGAAGCCACCTGTTGCTGCAGCTGTAGGGACGTGGTTGTGGGCGGAGAGCGGGTCTGCAGGAAGAAGCGGAGTGTCCCGTACGGTGGACTGTCCATCTGGATGTGAGAGGTAAATGGCCAAACCTCTGAACCAGAGGAGGACTGCAGAGCACGTCCTACAGCCTCAGGGAAAAAGAGCCTGCAGAGACGGGACAGAAAAGGCAGGATCCCTTAGCGAAAAGCCCGCTCAGCTGGACTGTGAGGAAATGGAGAACCTCTGTTCACTGGAAGACAAGGGGTGAGAATGCAGCCACAGGGTGACAAAGATGGATTATCTCCATTACCAGCCAAGGGCCCTTCTCTGGAATATATAAGGAACACATATCAAAGCAACGAAAAAGCACTGATGGAGAAATGGGCAAAAGACGCTACTTGACAAAGAGGCGACCTGACGGCTCAAAGCATGGAAGGGTGTGCAACCTCATTGGTAACCAGGGAAGTGGAAATTATATGAGATTCTCGACACCTCCTGCCCCTAGCGCCCCAGAATGGCTGGAAATAAAATGACCACACCAGTAGTAATGAGGATGGGAACCAGCATGAACTCGGATGCTCTGCGGCAGGGAGGTCAGTGGGTCTAGAGCCCTCAGAAGGCCAGTTGCGCGGCCTGCCAGAGCCCCTGGACATGGCTGATGCTCTGCTAGGTATGTCCCCGTAGAGATGTGTGCCCACAGGTCCCCTGCATTCCAACGCTCTCCACTCCGAAGTCCAGGGACGGAACCATGGTGCTGGCTGTCCTCGGGAGGGCGGGAGGCGTCTGGTGCTCACATTTCACAGCTGCCACGGCGACCCGCACCCCACAGAGCAGCCACCACCCGCCAGAGCCCCCCGGAGTGCCAGGCGCCTCCCCAGCCTGCTGGCATGAGAGGGGCCCCCCAGCCATGCCTATGAGGACACGGGGTGTCGTCGGAGTCCCTCCTGTTGTGGGCACTCTCTTACCTTTGTTTTGAATGAAGAGGTGCAGGGGAAGGCCCAGCAAGTTTGCAGGCTCAGGGAGGTCACGTGCGGGGGCAGCACGAGCCCTCCTGGGGGTGCAGGTGGAGCGAGGCGGGGAGCCCGCCCAGGCCCCTCGGGGAGCAGCTCTTGGGGTGATCGCCGAGGCTGCCCCTGCCACTGTCCCTGCTGTGCTCAGCATGGGCACCCAGGCATTTCAGGGGCGATCAGCCGTGGGGCAGCACGTGCTGGTGCTGACCCCACAAACCAGGGGGAGGAAGGCAGTGGCGGGCAGCCCTCCCCGGGACGAAGGGGTGCTGCGGTGGTGGCCATCCTGTGTCCCAGGGTTTAACTCTGCAGCTTGTTTTCGGTCACACTGCTTGCCTGGTGGGGGCCGGCGGGGGCCAGCAGGGGCCTCCTCGGGGGTGACCTCAGTCCTGTCACCTGGCCACCTGGGACCTTGCTGGCTGCATGGCAGAGGGAAAGAAAGTTTGCGGACAGCAGTCTTTGTGAGTCACTTGGGCAAAGTGACTGGGGACGCCCAGAACTGGGAGAACTGGAGTCTGGGTTTGGGGGGCACCCTCCATGCCTCGCAGAGGACCTTTTGATAGAAACAGGGCAGTTGGCTCATTGCTTGGAGGTTGAATGCAAGAAAGGGAACTCGGTCACATTCTACTCCTTCAGGGAGAGGCCCCCTGCCTCCTGGAAGGAGTGGGGGTGAGCAGGGCCATGGAGGTGGGGTTGGGCTTCCAAGACACTCCCCAGATTGAGAGTCTGGAAGGCCAGGGTCTTGGGTTCTGTGTTTCGATTTGGAGAGCGTTTTGGGGGGCGTGTTCTTGCACGATACTGGCTACTGCCTTTAGGACCCCTCGCTTCTTGGGGTCTTTACCCCCCAACTTCGGAGTGGCTGCCCAGGTGTCTCTCTGTGACCTGTGGTTGCCCATCTCCTTCCCACTCCCCTGAGATCCTGGTGGGGGTGAGGAGGCCCACTTGGCGCAGATTGGGCTTCAAGATCTCTGCAGCTCCAGGAGCAAAGAGTGGGGGCCCGGGCCCGAGCTGAGGTGCTGCAAGTGGCCAAGGAAAAGTCCTTTGCCGGACGCCTGGGCTGGGGTCCTCCCTGCTCAGGAATGGCCATGTTCTGACAGGTGGGCGCTGAGGACCCTCACCTGTGCCCCCCATACAGGTGAGCACTGGCCCCTCCTGGCAGAGTTATAGGGCATGCACAGCTTTCCTGAGTGGGGCTGAATAGGGTCTCCCCAAAATTCATATCCATCCAAACCTCAGAATGTGACCTTATTTGGGGGAAGTGTCTTTGCAGATGGAATTAAGGTAAGGCTTGACATGAAATCATGCTGGATTAGGGTGGGCCCTGAATCCAGTGACGGGTGGAG